AATAACAAAGGGGAATCTAAGTAAGTAGATTTGATTCAGATAACAAGATAATACATTAGATATATTTTCTTAAAAAGTAGGCAATCTTGCTTCCTTTCTATGGATAAAATTAACAGTCATTGTGATACTTTTCTATTAGCCTTACTCATAACAACTGCATTATATCTTACAGAGACCCAAAAGGGTGAAAGAAATTGATTAAAGGGTCGATGTTATGTGCAGTGAGTTAGGCTACTGTCTGGGATGCCGCCTTCCTGTGTGGACACCTGTTTGAGTCCTGGCTGCTACACTTCCAATCCCACTGCCTGCTCCTGTGCCTGGTAGGCAGTAGAGCATGGCCCAGGGGCTTGGGTCCCATGAGCGAGACCAGGAGGAGGTTTCTGGCCCTTGGATTTAGACTGCCCCAACTACAGCCATTGCAGCCATCTGAGGAGTGAGCCAGTAGATAGAAGATCTCTGTATCTGTCTCTCTGTAACTCTGCCTTTCAAATAAATAAAGCAAATATTGAAGAAAAAAAAAAGAGAGAGGGAGGAGAGGAAAGGAAAGGAAGAGAACCTGATTTGTCCAAGAACACAACTTGTGCATACGAACTCAAGTCTGTCTGACCCAAAGCCTTGGTCTCTTGTCTCAGTTAAAAACAAGTATTCAGTATATCAGTTTGTGTGGCTACAAGTAGTTGCCGGAAATAAAGTCAGAACATAGGCGTTAGAGAGAGGTAGGCTCGCGTTTCCTTGCAGAGACAGACTCTCCAGCAGAATTCTAACAATGAAATGGGTTTTTACACATTGAAACATGGATCAGATACTACCATTAGCAGCATAATTTCATAAGCATTCTACATTTCACAAGGAACATTTGAACAAACTTACAATCCAGTCAATCCAATTCTGGGATTCAGAGCATTATGTTTCAAATGTATACAGTGGGAAGCCAACAGCCATAGCTCAGCTGGCTAATGCTCCACCTGCAAGCGCTAGCATCCCATATAGACATCAACTTGTGTCCTGGTTGTTTGACTTCCCAGCCAGCTCCCTGCTTATGGGCTGGGAAAGCAAAGGAGGGAAGTCTTGGGACCCTGCACCCACATGGGAGATCCAGAAGAGGCTCCTGACTTCAGATCAGCTTAGCTTTGCTTGTTGTAGATGGAAGATATTTTTCTCTCTGTAAACCTACCTTTCCAATAAAATAAATAAAATCTTAAAAAACAAAACAAAACTATCGATAGTAAGATGGATGTATTGGGACCAGCGTTGTGGCATAGTGGGTTGGGTCTCCTCCTGTAATATCAGCATCCCATAGGAGCATCAGTTCATGTCCTTGCTGCTCCATTTCCTGTCTGTCTACCTGCAAATATACCTGGAAAGCAGCAGAAAATAACCCAAGTGCTTGGGTCACTACCCGTGCTTGGGAGACCCCAGCTACAGCTTGTGGCTTCAGCCTGACCCAGGCCTGGCCATTGCAGCCATTTGCAGAGTGAATCAGTGGGTGGAAGATTGTGCTCTCTGCCTCTCCCCATCTTTCTTTGCAACTGTGACTCCAAAATAAATTTTAAAAAGAAATTTAAGTCTTTTTTTTTTCCAGGATGTTCTGCAGCATGCCATTAAGAGTACCAGAATGGGATCCCAAGTTGTTGACTCAGGTTCTCCTGCTGTTTCCTTGTTAATGTCCAGATGACCATGTGTCATGATGCCATCAAGGGAATATTCAGACTTAGGAGGAAGTTAGATAAAATGACTTTCAAGCTTTCCATTGGCTTTGAAAATTTTGAAGTTTCCAAAGATTGCAGTTCAGCCTGATTTGCCAGTTCAAAAATGGAAAATGTTTGCATATTCCATTTCCCAGCTAAGTATGTTCCTCTTTCAGTTTTTTTCCCCCCTGGTATGTAGTAGTTTCTGGAAAATCTTGTTCTGCCTATTTTTTTGAAAGTCTATTCATTTATTTAAAAGGCAGAGTGACTGAATGAGTGAGATCTTCCATGTGCCAGCTCACTTCCCAAATGGCTGCCGCAGCCTAGTCTGGACCACACTGAAGCCAGTAGCCTGTAACTCCTGGCCACCCACATGAATGGCAGACACCCAAGAACTTGGACCATCATTCAATGTCTTTCCATGCACTTTAGGAGGGAGTTGGGACAGAAGCAGTGTAGCTGGAACATGAACCAGCACGCCAGTGTGGTTGCCCAGATTGCAAGTAGTGTCTTAATGTGCTGTGCCACAACACTGGTCCTGCTTGAATTCTTGGTCTTCTACTGTCTTCTGCTCTTACTGGATGGCCTTTTCTACTGCATCTTCAGGAATCCAATAAAATTGTCTTTCCTTTAACCAGCTATCTTCCAATTTTATTTTTCTGCTGACACTGGAATTTTAGTGTTCTTTTCTGTGTTGCCTTATTGCTTTCTTTCTAATTCAATTTCATTATTTCCAATTACTTTTACTCTTGATTTTATCCTTATCAACAAACTACCAACATGCTGACTGTCTCTGCCTCATCACCAGTACTGTCTTTGTGTTCTTTTCAGTTTTCCTTCCCCCTCCCCAAGCATATTTTGTGTACTTGAAAGCCTGCCATGTCTCTGTATCATTTTTTTTTAAAGATTTATTTTATTTTTATTGCAAAGTCAGATATACAGAGAGGAGGAGAGACAGAGAGGAAGATCTTCAGTCTGATGATTCACTCCCCAAGTGACTGCAACAGCTGGTGCTATGCTGATCCACAGCCAGGAGCTGGGAACTTCTTCCAGGTCTCCCATGGGGTTGCAGGATCCCAGGGCTTTGGGCCATCCTCAACTGGTTACCCAGGCTACAACCAGGGAGCTGGATGGGAAGCAGGGCTGCCAAAATTAGAACCGGCGCCCATATGAGATCCTGGTGTTCTCTAGGCAAGGACTTCAGCCGCTAGGCCACCGTGCAGGACCCATCTCTATCATGTTAATGCTTGCTTTTACTCTTCATTTAAAACACACAGATTTTATTTTTGAGAGCACTTTTAGATATTCAGTGATACTGAGCAGAAGGTACAGAGATTTCTCACATACCTGATATCCCCAACGCAGGCATACCTCTCCATTATTGCACTCAACAAAATAATATATGTTGCATTTAATTTACTTTAAGAGACAGGAGAGAAGGGAAGAAAGAGTTTCCATCTGTGTTGCTTCCCAAATGTTTCTAGTGGCAAGGGCTATGCTGGAGCAGAAGCTAGTAGCCAGAACTGAATCTGTGTCTCACATAGGAGGCAGATATCCAGTTATCTGAGCCATCACTGTTGTCTCCCAGCCTCTGCAATAACAGGAAACTGTAGTTGGAAGCCAGAGCCAAAATTTGAACCCAGATACTCTGTTACCTTAACAGGAAAACTGGGCCCAGCACAGTAGCCTAGCAGCTGAAGTCCTTACCTTATATATGCAAGGATCCCATGTGGATGCCGGTTCATGTCCTGGCAGCCCCACTTCTCATCCAGCTCCCTGCCTGTGGCTTGGGAGAGAGTCAAGGATGGCTTCTGGAAGAAGCCACATGGGAGACCCAGAAGAGGCTCCAAGTCCAAGCTTAGATCAGCCTAGCTCCAGCCAATGCAGCCACTTGGGGTGTGAATCAGCAGACAGAAGATCTTCCTCTCTATCATTTCTCCTTTTTTCCAATTAAAAAAAATCTTTTTTAAAAGAAGTTCTTTCAGAATAGTCTCAGTGTTAGGCAAAACTTGTTCTCTAAACTTAACACAATGCTTCTCTCTTAGTAGGAGTTCAATAAACATTTAATAAGTTAAATTCTATTAACATTCATGCTTTAACTACTTCCAGAGCTTTTTCAACTTTTTATCCTGCCCTCATTTCCTCCTTTACTTTAATCTTTGAGAGTAATTGAACACCATTCTTCTCATAATAGTTCTTCAATCTTATATGCTTTTTTCTTTTCATAAGATTTAAGTTCATTTGTTATTTTGGCATTAAGTTTCAAACCCACAAACTAGTCTACCTGCTGTTGCCCTAATGTAAACCTTTGTACCAGTAATGCTGGTCTGTTCACTTTTCCTAGATATTTTATCTGCATTCTTTTGTTATTGCCCAACCTGGAATTCTTTTTGCTATTCTGTCCTGTCCTTGTTTTATAGAGATTCTACCTGACCTTTAAGATGTCTTCTGTAAACATTCTAATCTTTGAGCTTATCATAAGTGTAAACTGTTTGGCATTTTATCACTTCTCCCCTCAAGGGAAGAGTGATAGATCTTTGGAACAATAGTTAGGTTTTATATGTACATGTATTTTGTCTGTTATTAAGTTGTCAATAATTATTCAATTAGACCACCAGCCCAAGATAAACTTGATCCTTTCGAATCTGTCACAAGTTTTCTTTTTGGATTTTTATGATTTATTCATTGAGTTTGTCATAGTCTGTATCTACTAAGAATATAAATTGATTTTTTCAAAAACTTGTTCTGTGCTCTACTAAAAAAATGGTTCCAGATAAATTTTAAAGATAGATAATAAATAAAAAAACTTAGCATGTTTGTATTGTGTTAAATTGTGAAAGGTGCCCTGATGACAAAGTAGAAAAGAAAAATCTGTTGGCAATTCTAACTACATAGGCAGAACAGCCTTGTGACACCTTCTACGTAGGCCCTCTGCTAACATTTGCCTTTGTTTGTGAGAAATGACAAAGGATTATACATGTGTCTATGTACTTAGAATACTTCAGAAGAAAAGAATTGAGAATTCAGAAAGAATGTCGGAGAGGAGGATATTGTAGGGTTTATTGAAGACTCCTTGGTTACTTTCTAGGAAATATGTTCCATAGAGATATAATTTGTTAATAATTCATAACCATAGAGCATCCACAAATAAGGCACTTTTAATTAAAACTATAAGAATTTTATTTTATATTCTACTTTGAAGATACATAATACCCAAAGGATTACCAAAGGTGAGGTTTGTCAACTTGATTCTTTTGCTTTAGAATTTATAATAATTCCTTTTCTGTTTTGTTTTGTTTTGTTTTACCATAGGTAAATTGGCATGATGGATTTCTCCAAGCTACCCAAAATACTTGATGAAGATAGAGAAAGCTCATTTGGTTATGTGCATGGAGTCTCAGGACCTGGTAAGTCGTATGTAGTAATCACAAGTTAGAATCTTTAACTTTGATTTAATATCTGCCACATAGGGGTGCTGGTTCAAGCCCATACTGCCCCACATCCAGTCCAGTTCCCTGCTAAATGCTGCTGGAAAAGCAGTGGAGCATAACCCAAGGCCTTGGGACCTTGTATCCTTGTGGGAGACCTACAAGAAGCTCGTGGCTGCTAGCTTTAAGCAGGCTCACATCTGGCTTTTATAGCCATCTGGGGAGTGATCCCACAGATAGAAAAATCTCCCCCTGTCTCTCTGTAACTCTGCCTTTTAAGCAAATATTTTTTTAAAAAAATGAAAATAAGTCAATAAAATATTTTTTGAAGATTCATAGTGACTGTGAGATTTAGCATTATCTAAATCTGATTATCACTGTGCTACTTTGTCGCATATGTTAATGATCTGTTACATATATGTATAACAATGTTCAGAAGTTTACTCACCTGTATATCTTAATTTTTTGGCCTAATTTGACATTGATAAGCTGTAAAATATAGACATCTTGCAGGTGGTAGAGTTTCACTGAATCTTAATTTACTTTGCACTTTAATATCTTTGAACATTAGTAACTATCTTCAAAACATTTTTCAGCAGTTCTAGCTTTTGCCTTTGCATTAATGAATCCTTCTAAATGGTTATTTTAGGTGTCCTGATAAGCTGTCATTGGAAAGAAGTACTTTGAGTTAATACAGATAGTAGATAGCAGTTTTTACCATTTGTCTATTATGCCAAATTTTTAGGCACTGCTTTTTAAATAAGTCTCAGTCCAGTGTTGTTTTGTGTTATTGAATAGTCCCCCTACAAAATGTGTTTCCTGGTTTTCTTGGTAAAATCTGCTCCTTTATGTATCATTAATGCCATGAAAATTCAGGTTTTTTTTATGTCTATCAGCCTTACGATGTGGTTTTTTGTTTTTTGTTTTGTTTTGTTTTGTTTTTGTAGTTAAATTTTTGATATTTGTGCAGACGAACATTGTCAGTATTGCACGTTTTCCTCCTAACAGTTTGGTGTTAGAGCTTGAACTTCAGTCAAGAAATAAAAGGGATTTTACATTATACTGTTTTCAGTCTCTTTTGCCATTCAGAGAAGCAGTTTCTATGATCATAAAAAGATTTTTTTAGATTTATTTATTTTTATTGGAAAGGCAGATAGACAGAGAGACAGAGATACATAGAGAAAGATCTTCCCTCCTCTGGTTCACTCTCCAGTTGGCACCTGAATGAGAAATGGAGCAGCCGGGATACAAACCGGCACTCATACAGAATCCTGGCAGGTGCAAAATGAAGATTTAGCCACTAGGCTATTGCACTAGGTCTGATCTTAAAATCTTTAAGACAAGTTAAACAGAAGAACTTCTAGAGAAAGTACAAAGGAAAATCAAAGGATCTAAGTAAAGAATATTCTATGGAAACATATTAAATTGTTTCTCAAACCAATACGTGCATCTTGATTATTATTATATAGTGGATGTAGAGGTAAACATTGTTACTATTTTAGTAATGTTTATGAATATTGAAATTGACTTACAACTTTTTTTAAAGATGTGTTTATTATCATTGGAAAGTCAGATAGAGAGAAGAGAGACAGAGGCCCATTGCTCTGGGCCATCCTCAGCTGCTTTCCCAGGCCACAAGCAGGGAGCTGGATGGGATGTGGAGCTGCTGGGATTAGATCCAGTACCCACATGGGATCCTGGCGTGTTCAAGGCAAGGACCTTAATCACTAAGCTATCGCGCCAGGCCCTGAAGTTATTTTTTGTTCTTTTGTGTTTTTTTTTAAATTGTTCCAAACCCTCATCTCATATAATTTAGTAACCTGTGTTGATCAGAATGTGCCTAAATACGATCAAGTGTTTATACAGTGTAGAACTTCCAGCATCTGAAAATGGTTCTCATGTATAGTTTTTAAATAAATATGCTAAAAGTATATCTTTATGTGAAACTGTGTTTCATAGTGGATGTGATATATCTTTCTGATGATACACAGGAGACATATAGTTGAAATTATTGAGTTTTTTAATTATCTGACTATTCACAGAGCATCAGTTTAAGTCATCAAAATTGTTTGTTCTCTTCAGTGGTCACAGCCTGTGACATGGCAGGCGCAGCCATGTATGAGCTGGTGAGAGTGGGTCACAGCGAGTTAGTTGGAGAGATTATTCGGCTGGAAGGTGATATGGCGACTATTCAAGTGTATGAAGAAACTTGTATCCTTTTCGGTTCAGTTTCCTGCCACTTTCTCGTATGTCCAAATTTAAGGCCGTAAGCCAAAAGTAGAAACAGCAGCGTCTGATGATATTGGAAGCATAAAAGAGTCATGGAGAGATCTGACTTTTTTTCAGGATGTTGAAGAAAGGGAAAAGGGTAATAGGAATTAATGCTCTCATTTTAACAAATTAATATTATGTACTCACTGTTCATAATGTTTAAGTAATTCAAAATCCTCTGAAGGAACCAGCTGGAATTTTTCTTCAAAAGGCACATAGTGTGGACGAAATCATGAGTAGAATAATACTGATTTAGAAGGTTAAAATCCTCCATTTGCGATTTCTGTTTAAATTAGGAAATCTGTAAGTCATATTCTATTATAATGAATTGCACTGAACACATAAACACAACCACTTTTGTTAGTTCCTCTTGTGTATCCTTCTGATTGCTTGCTTGGATATCTTGAGTAAATTGAAAGATGTAATTTTCCTTTTTTCTCCTTATAGCATAATAAAAGTATTAATCCATACATTGCTTTTTTCCATTAAAAATGTATTGTAAAAGATGACTAGGTATGTAAGATGAATGGTATCATCTGGATTCAAGAGCTAGGTGGAATCTGCTGTAAAATTAGTTAACTTTTCTTATAGGCTAGAAAAATTTCATCATCATTAAATTAAAAATGTCCTTAGGTCTGACTCTTGTACTTCTGCATGGTATTTAATCATGTGGATTTACTGCAGTGGATTTAGCAATCCTTTGGGGTTAGATTTTTTTTTTCTAATGTAAGCGGTAAGTGTAATCTGATATAAATGTAACTGCTGTATGAATTCACTGTGGTTAGATTCTTAGGTCCAGGTTTATCCATGTTTAATTTTTACATCTGTTGCTGAATTACTCTCATTGAAAGTTGTGCCTATGTAACTTGGAAATACTAGAAAACAGATTGGATTTAGCATGTGTATTTGCAGGTTTTAGTCTTTTTCTTTTTAAAATTACTTTCTTAATTTTTCAGATGTTTTTGTCGAAGTACTAATATCCTTCTTAGGGAACTGATCTTCCTCAGCAGTATGTTAGAATCAGTTCAAGTTTTTGAGATTAACATAGAAATATTAGATCTATTACCATGTGAACTAGTTGCTTGAAATAATAAGCCATGTAATTATTTTGCCATAACACATTCTTGTCAATGATCTCATATTTCTGTGAAGCTCAGTTTTTGGCAGTTACTAAGTGGAAAAGCAAGTCCAGTGTAGAATTGAACATGCGACAAGTTTCCTGTCAAACTACAGAAGATGAAATTTGAGTAGTGCCTAACTGGCACATCCATCCTGTTCCAAGAACTATAGTTTTTCAGGACAGAAATGTATATTCTCTCTCTCAATTTCTGCATTTCACTCTTTTCAAATTGTTATTAAGACTTGTATTCTTATGTTGTTTGTATATAACCATCTAATAGTGAATGAGATTGTTATCTTACTTCCTTTAACACGCCTAATAAAATTATTGAAAACAAAACTGTAAACTGATAAGGTTTAGGGACCTTTTGATTTTGCCACTTAAGTATAGCTTCCCTGTTGAACTGTGATGTTTCTTGTTAACAATATCGTTAAACTTTGGTGGTGAGGTTTCCTCAACTGCTGCTTCTAGCTGGTGTGTCTGTTGGCGATCCTGTGCTCCGCACTGGTAAACCCCTCTCAGTAGAGCTCGGTCCTGGCATTATGGGGGCCATTTTTGATGGAATTCAACGACCCCTATCGGATATCAGCAGTCAGACTCAGAGCATCTACATCCCCAGAGGAGTCAACGTGTCCGCACTGAGCAGAGATATCAAATGGGAGTTTACACCCTGTAAAAACCTCCGGGTAAGTCTGGGCTACAACAGTTTTTACTGTTTGGTGAAACAGAATGTGTAATGAAAGTTCAGTAAATTAGGTTGTAGTCTTATCCAAATAAAAAATGGACTGTAGGTGCATAATTTAAAATGTTCCTTAAGCCGGTACCTTTGGTCTCCTGCTTGAAACACCCATCCTAACACCTCTATCCAGGTCTGAACGCTCCAGATAGAGGCTCAGACCCACTTAGGGGCTGTCATTGTGGAGTAGCACATTAAGCCACTGCTTGGATTGTCTGCATCCCACCTAAGAGTACGTGTTTCAGTGGTGGCCACCCTGCATTTCTGATCCTGCTAATGTGTCAGAGGCTACAGATGATGGCCAAGCACTTGGGTTCCTGCCACCTTTGTGAGACCCTGAAGGAGTTACTGGCTCTTGGCTTCATCCTGGCCCAGCCCTGGCTATTGTAGACATTTGGAAAGTAAGCCAGTGGATGAACTAAGTCTCTTTCTCTCTGCCTTTTAAATAAATACATCTTTACAAAATTAAAAGAAAATGTTTTAATACAGTACTAAGATGTACTCGGTATGTTTTATTGTTAAGTAAAGTAATGATTTAGATTTTAGAAGTAAGGATGAGTCTACTGGATATTTTTAAGCATCAAATGCACTTTTCTTCTAGGTTGGCAGTCATATCACTGGTGGAGATATTTATGGAATTGTCAATGAAAACTCACTCATCAAACACAAAATCATGTTACCCCCACGAAACAGAGGAACTGTAACATACATTGCTCCACCTGGGAATTATGATACCTCTGTAAGTATCATTTGACTTTATGCAAAAAACTGTAACTGCAATGGCTTCACTTATGAATTATGATACTTTTATAAGTGTCACTTAAACTTTATCCCACAGAATAGCCCTTTTTAAATAAAATAGTCTTCCTTTTTTGGTTCCTTACATAAGGGAATTATACGTAATATATGGATTGGGAGTTACCACTATGATTATTTTTAATAATTGCTTTTATATTTGTTTTTTGTTTTAAACTTGAGCTGGAGTTTAAAAAAAGCAGAACATTATTATTTCTTTTTAAAAGGTACAATGTTTTCCTACTTTCTCAACTGATGTTACATTCATTTAAAACTCTAACATTAGTATAAATAGTCTTCCATTATAATTGTGAATCAATTTTGGCATGTTTAATGGAATAATGGACTGTGTATATTCGTATTTGGGGTGAACCATTTAAGAATGAAATCTTTAGTGTTATTTGTAGTCATAGGTCTTTAATTTGTTTTTACTGAGTATAGAGAAACACTATATTGAGTGAACCGTAGTAGCGTATTATTTTCTCCCAATAAAATGAGATCATTTTGAAACCATTTTTGTGAGAGTAAGTTCATGCAGTGTAGTACAGATTTAAGATTGGGATTCTATATGATCAGCTGGACTTAACCTGCAAGCTTAGAGAGTGACTCCATCTAGAGGAACTACCTTGAAAGGGACATCATTCAAATCCATGTGTTCACATAGTTACGGATTTCTGTAAGTCTGTGGGCCATGCGGTTGTATATGAATAGGTGAGGTTATCTTGATGTAAACAAATGTTAGTGTATTGCTCATTACTGATACAGATATATGAAATTTTACAGGGAAGAGCATAAATCCCCCTCCTTTCTTGTGCCGCTTCCTGGCACAGCCAGGATGAATCTGAAGTTTGAACATTGACAAATCTGACAAATCTGCTGTATTTGTATAGGATGTTGTGTTGGAGCTTGAATTTGAAGGTGTAAAGGAGAAGTTTAACATGGTTCAAGTCTGGCCTGTGCGTCAGGTTCGACCTGTCACTGAGAAGCTGCCGGCCAATCATCCTCTGTTAACCGGTCAGAGAGTCCTGGACGCCTTGTTTCCGTAAGTTGGAGATGTGTCCCACAGTTTTATCTCAGAGTTGTTACATGTGCTTATCTCTTCATTATCTGTGTGGATAAAGGCTTTATATGTATAACCTGATAAAGAATTTTATCTAGACTTAATAAGGTGGATTAGTTAAATATGTTTATTGATTACCAGTATTTCTAATACAGTAAGATCAAATAAAGATATGCAAATTTTTTAACCCATGGAAAGCATTCTTTCTAAAATTTGGAATAGGTGGATTGGCAAAATTGAGAATTTCTAAAATCCTTCTTTATGCTGTCCAATAGTCTTTGAATTTATAGTGTGCCCCTTTCCATTTCTTTGCTTAAAAACTTTTTCCTTTCCCTTTAAACTTAAGGCTTCACTATGTTCTGCTCTACTTTTAACAAATGACTTCATTATTTAATTCATAGAAAAGACAGTGTCTGCAGCTAGAACTTCCTCAGCCTCTGACCACCAAACCCAGGATTGACACACTCAAGAAACAATATCTTAACCTTTGTAAAAATTTTCTTATTCAAAAGGCTGACAGAGAAGCAGAATTTCTATCTGTTGGGTCACTCCGTGACAGGATGCCAGACTGACCTTACCTGCTGTACCACAGCACTACCCCCTAAGCATTTTTTTTTAATTTAATTTCTATTATTTTTAAGATAACATTTTTGTTAGCATTACAATCAAAACCTAATACTCCACTAAATAGAATTCAACTAATAAGAAGTAGAAAAGCTGAAATTAAGCAGGAAAATCTAACTCTGAGGCTTTCACATAGCAAAGGAAACAACAATTAGACTTTTTTAAATTTGTATTTTAATCCTAGTCCATGATCTAGGGAAGATTCTCACCCTAATTCCAGCATTAAGCACATTTAATTAAACTTTCCAATTTAAGCCTTAATTTATTTCAGCGTGGTTGTCCATATTGCACAGTGATCCATGTAAAACATCTGTCTGATCTCTGCTGTTTCACTCACTCACAATGCTTACTTGCCTCTCATTTTTCTTAGAACAAATGCATAGTTTTGAAAGTCCTACAGAGCTACCCAGAAGCTGAGCATTGTTTACTTTCCACTGTTCTCCCTGCCATTTGACTGGCCAACGGCTTATTTACATACTGTCTTACATATGGAGGGACTTTCCGATCTGCAAGCAATGCCCTTTCTTGCTCCTGGATTTCTGAACATGCTGTTCCCTCTAACTGCAACATTATTTCTACTTCACAGACCGATTTCTCTTACTTTTCAGTTCTTATCTACCTGCAGATAAGATTTCCTAACCCAACTTCATCCAGAGTCACACGCTACATTCCTTGCTATTTGTTCTTACAGCACCATGGCTGTTGTCTAGGTGTATAGTTCACACTGGGTTGCTGAACTTCCAAAGTGGAGAAGCCCCAGTCTGCTCCTGCCCCAGGTTGAACGTGATTTGACTGAGACAGAGCACTAGTATTACAAAGAAAGTTAATGTACATCTCATTTCTTCAGCCCAGCCTGCCACACACACACAGACATCTACATTCTTCTTCTTTAATAAAGGATTTTTCAATCTGGCCTATCAATTTTGTGAAAAAGTTTGTAAAGGGCTGCTAAGCTGGTAGTCACCAGTTGATCCCATGGAGTCAGGGCTTTTTGAGTGCAGGGATGTTGCCATCTTAGGTGGTAGATTTTATCTCCCCAGGATCTCCAAACAGCTTTTAATACTCAGGAAATACTCAGAAAACAGCTGTTCAACAGATGAAAAGTGGATTGACTTGATACCTTAACAAGATTGTTCATTCCTAGATCTGATTTTTTGCCTCAGATATAACTTATATTTTTCTTTTGGCTTTAATCCTTGCGTTGTCTTTTCATGAGCTAAGTCATATATGCTTTCAGAACATTAATGCTTTTAATTTGTCTTATTTAAGAGTTCTTTCTTTCCCTAGCTTATGTTTTTGTGTCACTTGCTTACTTTATTAGTATTTCTTAGCAAGTAAAGTGGTCCACATTTTGTTTGTTTGTTTAGGTGTGTACAGGGAGGGACAACTGCTATCCCTGGGGCTTTTGGCTGTGGGAAGACAGTGATATCTCAGTCTCTATCCAAGTATTCCAACAGTGATGTGATCATCTATGTAGGATGTGGTGAAAGAGGAAATGAGATGTCAGAAGTCCTTCGGGATTTCCCAGAGGTCTGTATACATAAAATCATGCTCAAATGAAAGACCATTCATCAGCTTCCATTGACAGTTAAGCATGCTCTGTGTTGTCTGGAGCAATACTCTCATTTACCCAAGAATATTAAAGTTTTTCTTTAAAAACTTTATTATAAACCGAATTATATGCAGAACGAAATATGGATAAATTGAAAAAAAGGGGGGGATGGGAACGAAAACCTTATATTTTAGTTATAGAATTACTCATAGATTTTGCTTGCCTTCAGCTTACAATGGAAGTTGATGGGAAGGTTGAATCTATTATGAAGAGAACAGCATTGGTAGCCAATACCTCCAACATGCCTGTCGCTGCCAGAGAAGCCTCTATTTATACTGGTGAGTATGGGAGTTGGAATAAAAGCAATTAATATCTGCTCTTAGATAAAACCAGCAACAACCACTTTCCTTTCCAATGAACTTTCATTCTAAAATACCACCAGACATACAGCTGTATTACTAGCTGTTAAAAAGAAATTTTACGTATTCTCTCTGAAGAACAAGTGAGCGTAAGAATTATCTGAATGGAGCGGCTGGACACGAACTGGTTCCCGTGTGGGATGCTGGCACTGCAAATGAAATCTTAGCTGATATGCCAGGCACTGGCCCCTTGCTTTTGTGTTTTATCTGTTTGTATATACTAATATATTTTAGTCTTGGAGAAAAATGAAATGTTTTCATTATTATTAGTTTTTTCTTCTCTGTCTTACTTAGCAAATTCGTAAAATTATTAATGATATCCAAAATTAAAACACAGTCAGGCTTGCACAACAGTGTAATATCCTGTCATCAGGTTGAAATATGTCATAATTATCATATTTTTTAGCCTTAACATTAATATTTTCAAAAACTTTGGTTATGGAACCTTTTATGGATACTACAGAAGCTAATTTTTCTCGCTTCTGAAGGCTGTAATATAATAAATAATAAAGTAATGAATTTTCCAGGACTATTTTATATTTTATTATAAAACTTTTTTCTTTACTGGTAAAAAAGTCAAGACATGAGATGTTAGGATTCCTGTAATATATCAATAGGTATGCATTTCTAGTAGCTCAGAGTATCATTGTACCTTATGCTTTTAAGAGAATATTTATATATATATATATATACATACATTTCCTTTCATTTGACATGTATAAGTATATAAAAGGCAAGAGTTATTCCTTTTTTATCAGATTAAGGAACTAGCAAGCAATAGTTTATTGTGTGCAAATTTATATGACAGAACCTAATAGGAATAGCAGTAAGGTGGAAATATGTGAAATATTACTCAAGTTATTAGCATTTGTTACTATAAAAATAATTAAGCTAATTAATTGAGAGTGTTTATGCATATTATTTCAACAAGAGTAGAGAAAAAACATTTTTTCTGCCTTTTAAAATGTGTGTTTATGTTAAGGTAGGCTAAGTCATGGTATCAGGTATCATCAGACATGTAATTACTCATTGTAATAGGTGGGCATTTCAAATGGTCAGAAACATTCTTACTCTTATCATTCTGGGCTTAGACCTAGACTGAAGAGAACGCTTCCCTTGGCACACCAAGCTGCAGGGGTCCTGGGAATCCTTTCCATCTTAGCAAACCACAGAGTACTCAAGAGTATGTGACTTTCCTGCGCACATGTGGATTTTTTGGTTGGCTTGGTGTGTTTTTGAGTCAGATTCCAGTAGAGGAATCTAAATAGAAGAACGTTCCATAGCCATATTTAAATGCAGAGGATGCTAAGAAATGCAGTTCAGTTGTATGTCTAGATGAGAAAGAATAGATTTGAAGGTATAACTAGCAATCTACTTCATGTACAGTGTATTGATTTAAAGTTTTCTAAAAGGAGAAAAAGGCAGGAATTTGTATTCTGGCTTGGTAATGTATAATTTTCTTCCCAATTTAGGAATTACACTGTCCGAATATTTCCGTGACATGGGTTATCATGTCAGTATGATGGCTGACTCTACCTCTAGATGGGCTGAGGCGCTTCGAGAAATCTCTGGTCGCTTAGCCGAAATGCCTGCAGGTAAGTCTGCATTGCCTGTCACATAAGCAAGACTGGTAAGATTTGGGGCTCTGGCTTGGAATCCCTTTTAACAATTTACTTTCATCTTCCAGACAGTGGATATCCTGCGTATCTTGGTGCCCGGCTGGCATCTTTCTATGAGCGAGCAGGCAGAGTGAAATGTCTTGGAAACCCTGAAAGAGAAGGGAGTGTCAGCATTGTGGGAGCGTAAGCACCTGAATTGTTCTTCTTGAAAGAAAAATGTCACTTATTTTGAAGATATGTTTTATTTTTATCAGAAAGGCAGAATTACAAAGGAAAAAGGAGAGACACAGAGGGAGACATTCCATGCACTGGTTCACTCTCCAAATGGCTGCAATGGCCAGAGCTGAGCCAATCTGAAACCAGGAGCCAAGAGCTTCTTTTGGGTCTTGTGCATGGGTGCAGGGGTCCCATAGCCTTGAGCCAAATTCTGCTGCTTTCCCAGGCTATAAACAGGAAGCTAGGTTGGACGTGGAGCAGCTGGAATACTAACTAGCATCCAGATGTAATGCCAGTGCTGCAAAAGGAGGCTTAATCTACTACCATAAGGGCACAATCCCAAACATCACTTATTTAAGAGAATACAAACATACTTGAAAAGTAAAATTAAAACATTATATTTATTTTGGGGCAAAAAGTTTGAGATTAGTCCATAGTCTCCATGAACTCTTGGGGAACTTTATATACATGTATTTTAAAACCTTTTACCTGAAATCTTTTAACTCCATTTTTCATGAATTTTTTAAAGTCTACTCATATTTCCTTCCTTCAGAAATCCTGGGTTTTTGTTTTTGTAAGATTTATTTATTTATGTTGGAAAGTCAGATTTAGAGACAAAAGGAGAGACAGAAGGATCTTTTGTCCAATCTTTTATTTCCCAAGTGGCTGCAACAGCCAGAGTTGAGCGGATTTGAAGCCAGGAGCCGAGAGCTTCTTCTGGATCTCCCTTGTGTGTGCAGGGTTCCAAGGCTTTGGGCTGTCCTTGACTACTTTCCCAAGCCGCAAGCAGGGAGCTAGGAGGAAAATGGTGCAGCTAGGACATGAACTGGTACCCACATGGGATCCTGGCACATGCAAGATGAGGACTGTAACCACTAGGCTACTGTACCAGGTCCGGAAGCACTGGTTTTTAACCAATGTTGTACTGAACTGTCATCCAGATAGCTCTTTGAAGGCCACATATTTAACTCATTTCTACGTATTCTGGTTCCATACATTTGGCTTCATGGATTAATTATATTTATGTCACAGTATCTTGGGAATAACTTGAAAGGTTATAGACTGTAAAGGTGAGATTGGTTCATGGTGAAAACAAAATGAATCTTCATGAGTCCTGCATAAAGCCATACTTGGTTCTCAGAGCTTTCTTTGTGTTTCTATTTAAGTCAAATAATGAAACATCATGGGTAAAACATTCTTTTCATTTCTTATATCAGAAAGTGTTCAATTGTTATTTGTAACTGAATGAATGACTTTAAGATTTTTACGTAAGATTTTCTTTCCAAAGGTCATTTGCAAAGTTACTTTTAAAAAGTTTCGTTCATTGAAATTAGCCTTCAAACTGACCTTCATAAGCAATTTCTAATGACTATTGTTTTTCTTTTTTAGAGTTTCTCCACCTGGAGGTGATTTTTCTGATCCAGTTACGTCTGCTACTCTTGGTATTGTTCAGGTACTTAACATAATGCAGTCAACTTCTGAGACTTCTCTGTCTTTCCCCACATTTTTTTTTAAAGACTGATGCTGCTTAATTCATAAGCTCTGTGTAGCTTTAATCCAAGCAAAATAATAGTGAAACCAAGGTACTATTTCACAGTCCAGGCCCTTGTAGAAATAAAAAGTTTTGAAAATTGTATATATCAACTGAAAAAATATACAAATACACATGAAGCCGTAACATTTTAATGAAACCCCATAATCCAGATCAACTTGTTACACATCTATAGAGTGTTTTGAAGAAGCAAAAGCAACAATAACAAAAAGGCCAGTAGCTTTTAAAGAAACAGTTTGTCCCAATTTCTATTTTTATTTTAAGGTGGGTTGTTTTTTAGATTTACAGTATTTCTCTCAAATCACTATGGAGTGTTTACTTCAGTCATTGAAAAGTAGATAATGCTAAACTTTGCTTTGGAAGCATTCTGAACACTGAGAGTTTTAAATAATGCAATCTGTTTGCTTAAAATTTTTAATAAATCTAATAAAGTATAGTGGAAAACAAATCCAGATATCAAAGTATTAGTGTGTAAGACCAACACTGTCGTTTAAGTTATAATAATCCTAATTATAGAACAGATAGGCCAAGAGATATAGAATGACAATAATGTGTAAATTTATTTCTCCTCACAGTGAGGCCCAAGGCAGAGGAACCTTGGTACACGAATAATATGGTCACTCCACTGATTCTTTTAGCCAATCCATGTAAAAGCAAGACTAGAATCGGGATCTGCCTGGACATGTTGCTTCCCAGTGACAAGGCACGATGGGCAGCTTAGTTGACCATTAAAAGAAGCCTAAATAAGAGATGTGTACAGGTCAACGCTATAGTTAAAAAAAGAAAGAAAGAAAAAGAAAGAAGTTGATATGTTTATAAGTACATATGTTTTATTTGAGTGAGAAAGCCAGAATATTTATCTAGGTTTCTAGAGTATTAAATAATATGGTCTGGGTTTTTTTATTTGTTTTAATGTATGGATCCAGACAGTAAAATGTTACCGATATGTAAGGCCAGTACTACTGCTTGTCAGAGTAATGCTAGTTACTTTCATATGAAATTCAATGATAGAAGCTAAATTTAAAAATTAAAAAAGACTTTTAACATTGGCTAAAATTTTGGGTTTTAAGTTTTAGGAAGAACAGAATCAAAGTTAGAAATGTGTCAAGTGTCTGTGAATGATCACCCTCAGCAGAATGATTCAGCAGCATCACTAAATTGGTCTTTAATCATGGGGAATTGATTTAATCAGAACATTTGTATGTTTTGAATCCAAGTGTCTATACCATCTCAATAAACTTTCTGGGGGCACAGCATGATGGCTCAGTTGGCTAATCCTCCCCCTTCAAATGTCATGTTTGTTACCAACTGCTCTACTTCCCATCCAACTGCATGCTTGTGTCCATGAAACTCTATGCTTGTGGCCTGGCAAAACAGTGGAGGGTTGACCCAAAAGCCTTGGGATCCTGCACCCACGTGGGAAACCCGGAGGAAGCTCCTGCCTCCTGGCTGCCGATCAGCTCATTTTTGGCTGCTGTGGACATTTGGGGAGTGAAGGAGTGAAGGATCTTAAATGAAAATTTAAAAAAAAAATACCTTGGGTTCATGTGTTTACAATAGTGTACATATATATATATTTTTTTTTTATTTATATAAAAAATAGTTCTGAAAGGCAGGTGAAGAGACACAGAAATAGAAAGCTCTCTTAACTGCTGATTCATTCCTCCAAGGCGTACAGCAGCTAGGGCTGGGCCAGGCTGAAGCCAGGGGCCAAGAATGTCATCCAGATGTCCCATACGGGCGGAGACTCCCAGCTGTGTGGGTCATCACCTGTTGCCTCCAGGGTGCAGATCAGAAATCTGGAACAGAGCTGGGACTCACATCCAGCCTCCCAGTCAGCCTCCTGACCCCCAAACTGCTCCTAGAAGTATTTTTCCTAAGTTAGTTTTCCTTTCCACTGTCAGATTTGATACGCTATTAAGGAAATTAGGATTTTTAATTGTAGATATTGTCCAATATGAATATGAATACATTTTTAAATTGATATTTTCTGTAACTTGTATTCCATTCAGTTATACTGGGCGTATATTTAAAAGATACCTGATTTGACCAGTAAATTATAGAATTACATATTTAGGACAAGCAAGCATGCCAGTGCTTTATTTTAACTTTTATTTTTTAAGAAAAATTCATATTTAGTTTTTTTTTAATCAGGTGTTCTGGGGCTTAGATAAGAAACTGGCTCAGCGTAAGCATTTCCCCTCAGTCAATTGGCTCATCAGCTACAGCAAGTACATGCGGGCCCTTGATGAGTACTATGACAAACACTTCACCGAGTTTGTTCCCCTGCGGACCAAAGCTAAGGAGATTCTGCAGGAGGAAGAAGACTTGGCAGAGATCGTGCAGCTTGTGGGAAAGGTAAGTTCTTGAACTCCATGGAGGAGACAAATAAAACTTTGAAGATGCATATTGAATGACAAGATCAATATTTATCATATTTTGAATTAAGTAATTTTTTTTCCCTTTATGGCACTTAGCATAGTCATGGTATATTATAGATGAGATAGAAATGGTTGGTTTATTTTTGAAATGGCATGTATTATCACCAGAATAGAGGCAATAGGATTAAAATCTGATGGCCTGTTTTTGTTTTTGTTTTTTACTTATTTTTGTTTTGTTTGTAAGACATTGAGATAGAGACAAAAAAAAACAGGAACAGAGAGATCTTTTATCCATTGGTTCAATCTCCAAGTGCTAGGAGCCTAGATCTTAGTCCTGGTTTACCACATGAATGGCAGAGAACCAGCTAACTTGAACCGTCACCCACTGCCTCAAAGGCTGTACGTTATCAGGAAGCTGGAATCAGAGGTGAGGCCAGGATTCAAACCCAGGCACTTGGATATATGATCTTAACATCCCAAACAGTGTCTTAACCCCTGCACCAAACACTTGCCCCTGTTAACATTTTTTTAAGTGCATTAGGGCTAGCAGTCAGAACCATGGCTTGCTAATCCTCTAGTAATTAGCTCCTCTATGCTTAAAGAGGTGACTTATATACTTTCATATCTATTTTGATAGTTTAGAGGAAAATGCTATAATTGAATTTTGCCAAATCAGATCCCAGAATTGAATGACTTCTTAGATACAATACAGTGCTCTCTGGTTCTGTTCGTAATTTTAGCTTACCTTAGGAAATACTCCCCTAATTTCCTCAAGAAAGGATAGTATTATAACATAGCTAGCATAGATCGATACATGCTTAATGAGACTTCAAAAAGGTCATAGAAAATAGAACTAGAGAACATTTGATGAAAACATTTTTTGATTACATAAAAAGTAAGGATTTTTTAAATATTATTTTTTATTGATTACATTGCATTATGTAACACTGTCTCATAGGCTCTAGCATTCCCACATATCCTCCCCCCATGGTGGATTCCTCCACCTTGTTGCCGTATTACAGTTCAAATTCAGTCAAGATTCTTTCATTGAAAGCATAGAGTGCAGCATCTTACTGTCCAGATAAATTCAACAGTTTCTTGGGGAGACCATCTCTGGTCTGAAAGCAGAGCTGGCAGAATATCATCCCGATCAATTGAAAGCTTCAGCATAACATCAACATCAATTTACAACATTATGGAATTAATTGACATGGTATTAAGTAACCAATATGTTAAAAAATGCAAGTTCTTAACCACATCCTGTGACTACTTCATTGACATTTCAATTTTAATTTATACACAGAACCGGCTGCTGTGCACCTTAAAATAGCTATAGGGTACTATTCAGCTGTTTCGTGACTATTTTCATTTTAGCATTCAGCAGTTTATAGTGTCGAAGCTTAATTTTGCTGAACTTGGCAGATTTTAGGATAGTCTAAACTGGCATATAACTCTAACAAGGCATTTGTCAACAGTTGAAGCACAGAAGTTTTAGGAGGGGTTTGCAGAGAAATATTCAATACCTTAGTGAGGAGTAACTAGTCTTTGTGTCCTACCTAGTAAGGCATGTGTGAGTTCACACTGACTGTTTCATGTCTGGTTCCAAGCTTTCCTTGTTGTTCTCTATCTGTTCCAATGTGTGTGTGTGTGTGTGTGTGTGTGTGTGTGTGTGTGTGTGTGTGTGTGTGTGTGTGTGTGTGTGTGTGTGTGTGTGTTTGGGGTGGGGGCTCCAGAGTGACCCTGATGGTCACTGCAAGATAGGTTGGGGATCCAAAGTTGGAACTAAGTGAGGACCAGAGAAAGCTCCTCTCCCTAGTCCTGAAGGAAGCTTAAAAGTAAGGATTTTTATTCGACAAAGACCCATCATGAATAAAGCTAACAGACCACTGACAGCTTTGGGAAGTTTGTGACATAGACAGATATTTGCTGTAAATTAACAAGACGTTTCAAACACTGACATTAAACATGAACGAAGGAAAGACTAACAAACGTGTGAGAAACATTCAAACCATGTAAAGATATCAAATATACTGGTTAGATAAACTGAGATATAGTTGTAGTTAATACATATATCCGAAGAAATTCAGCAACAAATCCTAAAGGACACTGTGGGAGTGAGGGAAGTGGAGTTGTCTTCTTGAATTGCAGATTGGTTCAGCTCCAACCATGACAGCCATTTGGGGAATGACTCAGTAGATGGAATATCTATGTCTCCCTCTCTTTCTGAAACTCTTTGACTTTCAAGTAAAATAAATAAATCCTTTTTAAAAATGCCAAAAGGACAAATAAGAATCTTCTAGATAACTAAAAGTATGCATAAAATGAAAATATGCGTTTCACATGAGTGTAAAAAAAAGGATATGCACAGAATACATTTGTATAGGTCCCCATGGTTGAAGAGAATAGAGATAAAAGGGATTTAAAATTTTAAAAAGAAAGGAAATATGGGATCCTTATCTAAGGAACTTAGGGCACCTAAATAATATAAGGTGATGAATAACTTGATGAAGCTGTTCTCTTCCTGACCTCTGTCTAGAAATCTTACTATTCATCTAGCAACAGTAATATCATCTCTCAAGACTGATAGAGTGATTGCAAAACTTACAGCTTTTGAGGTATTCTGTTTAAAAGGCAGAGTGCTCTAACTTAGACACATATGTACCACACTGTGTAATTTTAAATACCACTTAATACCTGGGCTCTAGATTTCTATGAAGTAGAATTAAGACCGAGAGTTCAGATAGTTAGCAAACCAGTGCTTATTATAAGTAGTATTATAGGGCACGTAATGCCATGGCTCAATGACTAAATCCTTACCTTACAAGTGCCAAGATCCCATATTTATTTGCAAGGTGCAGCATCAGAGAGAGGTGATCTCTTCCGTCTGCTAGTTCACTCTTCAAGAAGTTAAACAGGGCTGACTTGTTGATTCATCTGACTAATTCTCCACCTCTAAGCATGGCATCCCATGTGCACATCAGTTTGTGTCCTCGCTGTTCCACTTTCCATCCAAATCCCTGCTTATTGCCTTGGAAAGCAGTGGAAGATGACCCAAAGTCTAGGGACCCTACACCCATCTGGGAGACCCAGAAGAACCTTCTGGCTCCTGCCTTATGATTGGTTCAGCTCTGGCCGTTGTAACTATTTGGGGAATGAACTAGTGGATGGAAGATCTTGTAATCCATCTCTCCTTCTCTCTGTAAATCTGATCTGCCTTTCCAATAAAAACAAATAAATATATATTTTTAAAAAGTAATGTAAGAAATAAGCAACAATCAGTTGCATGCACATGTGCATAGCAGCACTATTCATAGTAACCAAGATTGAAAGCAACGGAGTTGCGTATCTGTGGATTAATGGGTAAGCACCGTATGGAATAGCCATACAATAGGGTATATAAAAGCCAGGAAATCTGTCCCACACACAGATGAAGCTTGAGGACACTGTGCTAAGTGAAATAAACTAGCCATCAAAAGCCAAACACTGGTTTCACTTAAAAGAGGTGTCTAAAATAGAGCCTTAGAAACCTAGTACAGTAGTGATATACCAGGAACTGACAGGAGGAGAGAAAGGTAGGTTACTGCTTAATGGAGGAGAATTTCCGATGTACAAAAGGAAAATTCTGACAGTCTCTTTCATAACAATGGGAAGAAAATTAATGCTGGCAGAGTGTATACTTAAAAAGAGATATGGCAGGCCCAGCGTGATAGCACACTTCCCACTCAGCTCCCTGCTTGTGGCCTGGAAAAGCAGTCAAGGACGGCCCAAAGCCTTGGGACCCTGCACCTGTGTAGGGGACCTAGAAGAGGCTCCTGGCTTCAGATTGGCTCAGCTCCAGCTGTTGTGGCCGCTTGGGGAGTGAACCATCAAAGATCTTCCTCTCTGTCTCTCCTCCTCTCTGTATATCCGCCTTCCCAATAAAAATAATAAATAAATCTTTAAAAAAGGGGGGATATGGCAGTAATTTTACATTATGTACTCTATCACAATTGCTAAAGAATTATCAAAAAGCAGTTACAAAGCAATTATTTAGTGGTCATGTGTTAAATATTCATAGTTTCCACTTGCTGACTAGTGGCTACCCTCAGTCCTGCATTCAAGAAGTACATTTCTAAAATACCTCATTTTCTCTTTTAGGCTTCTTTGGCAGAAACAGATAAAATCACTCTGGAGGTAGCAAAACTTATCAAAGATGACTTTCTACAACAAAATGGATATACACCTTATGACAGGTAAAGTATACTAATTTTGCTTTTTTATGTGAAGATTTTCTTGAAGATTTCCTTTTTTATTTGAAATTTTATTTGAGGTGCTTCAAACAGATACTGGCATCCATGTCAAGGGACTGATTCAAGTCCTGGCTGCTCTACTTTCCGTCTAACTCCTTGCCAGTGTACCTGGGCAAGCAGTGGATGATGGCACAAATGTTTGAGTCTTTGCCACCCCTTTGGGAGACTCAGATGGAGTCCTTGCTCTTGGCGCCAGCCTTGCCCAACTCTGGCTATTGCAACTTCTTCTTGCTTTGTTTAAGATTCACTTATTCTTACTGGAAAAACAGATGTACAGAGAGAGGAGAGACAGAGAAAAAGATCTAACATCTGCTGGTTCACTCCCCAGGTAACCACAATAGCCAGAGCTGAGCCAACCCAAAGACAGGAGCCAGGTCTCCCACCTGAGTGCAGGTCCCAAGGACTTGTGCTGCTTTCCAAGGCCGTAAGTAGGGAGCTGGATAGGAAGTGGAGCAGCTGGGATATCAACCAGTACCCATATGGAATGCCATACCTGGAGGTGAATTGGCCAGTTGATCTACCTATGAACTTTTTAAAGATCCCATGAAGTATATTCTGGTCCCCCCCCCCCCCCGAAAAATCCACTTTTTTCATGTGCTTTTCTCATATACTCTGTGACTCAGTATATTGATTTGGTTTGTATGTTCATAACAGTGGGCTCTAATGATGTAATATGTCTTACCTTGACTTGTCTTCCTCACCTGTACAATTATGACAGTGTTTTTACTGATATACATGAACCTCAAAGTGTTCATACAAAATGGAATTGAAATGAATTTTGGGGGGGTGGAAAATATTTTTAAACCCATGAATAGTTTTTTCATAATATACATTTTCTGATTTCTGTAAACTTTCTCAACTTTTCTTGTACAGCCATCCAGAATTAAATTGTAGCTTCCCTCAGAAGCTTTCTTCCCAGCTTCTTTCCAGTGTACATACTCTTCTCTTCTGCTCATTTCCCAAATAATTATATGCAACTGTTCCTGTCTCAGTTCCCGTGAGCCCTATGTTTTTCTCTACCTAAGTCTCTGTTGAATGTTCTTGCCACCTTTACTTTTTTCATTATTGGCTCTGCTACTCTAATTGCATGGTTAAATTTCCTATTTCTTTCAAACATCAAGAATTTGAGGCCTTTCATCTCAGGATAGTTTTTCTCCTTCAAATCGAAGTTGGTTTCATATCAGAAACAAAGAGGGAACTGAGCAAACAAAAGGGTTGCCAAGATGTAGGGTATGTAAAAAAATAGGCCAGCATGCCAAAAACCTCAGGAATCTGCCCTATCAGGAACCACCCACCCAAAGAGAACAAGAGGAAACTTAAGTGGTGTATGCAGATATGTTTAAATGCAACAGGAAGTTGTCATAAATGTGTTATCTTAGATTATTTACTCATGGCAGGCGGGAAAGCAGGGTATTGTTCAGCCCTCAGTTAAAACATCAACATCCCACAGTGGAGTACCTGGGTTTGAATCCCAGCTTTGCCTTCTCATTCCAGTTTATTGCGAATACAGACCCTCAGAAGCAGCAATATCAGATCAAGTGACTGAGTGTCTGCTACCCACATGGGAAATCAGGAATGAGTTCCCTGCTCTCAACAATAGCCAGGCCAGGCCCTTTGTTGGCATCCTGGGATGAACCAGGGAGTAGGAAGGTCTCTCTGTTTCTCCCCCTCTCTCTAATTCAAGGGGGGGTGGGGGAGATTGGTAAATGAAACAAACACTTTAAGGGAAATAGTTATTATTAACTTCAGAAACTTGCAATTTCCTGCCTTTCCATTATTCATTAAACCTTAACCTATCAGAAGGGGGCCTTTGTAAGTCTTATTTTGCCATTTGAATTACTTATCTAACTGCTCTGTGCAAAAACACATTCTTGGAGAGTCTGTGGATTGTAATTGTACCAGTACTATTTCATTGTTTTTCCTGTGATGGTGATTTCATCAGAGAAAAATAAGCACTACTCTTAAAATAAATAAAAGAATATGTCTTCTGCTCTCCATCCCATATCATGATATGTCTCTGTTCAAACATTCTGGCTAAGCTGTTCTTGAACTTCCTCTGGCCTTTTTTCATTGCTAACGTAGCATCGTGTGTGTGTGTGTGTGTGTGTGTGTGTGTGTGTGTGTGTGTGTGTGTAAAATCATTCATTTATTATAAGAACTTCTTTGGGATTTGTTTTTGTTCATTTCTTTTTAACCTTCATTTGCCCTAGGTTCTGCCCATTCTATAAGACAGTAGGGATGCTGTCCAACATGATTGCATTTTATGATATGGCCCGCAGAGCTGTTGAAACCACTGCCCAGAGTGACAATAAAATCACATGGTCAATTATCCGTGAACACATGGGAGAGATCCTCTATAAGCTTTCTTCCATGAAGTTCAAGGTATAATTTCATTTCTGCTATTACTTGTTTAGTAGAAAATGTCTATTTTCAAATCTTCTAACTGCTTGAATCGCAAACCTAATTTGGGATGGTTGTATATATCATTATGTACATGGTCAGGTTACGTAATGCCAGAACAGTCTTCAAAGTTATATTCCAGCAAGAAACCTAATGAGTTACAATACGTCACGTCTAAAATAAATGCTGATGTGTTTCCCACTTGTCTTGGCCACCAGGCAGTGTAGAGCTAAATTCCTTGTTGAGCAGCAATTATCTTACGTCAGGTGCCAATTACCAGCTCCTCCTCTGTGTTCTTCTGAAATGATGTCTGCTGTTTCAGAGATCACCTGTTATACAGGATTTTTAACTTTGGAGTGTCCTTTTATGCTTTTGACACACACACACACACAAAACACAAGTGAAAATAGTGAAATGAAAGTATTAGAAACTCAAATGTATAAGTTGGTTTTAGAATATTTGACAAGTTGAAATATAAGTCATACTGTCCAGGTGTACTTGTTGATCATCCAGTGGCAATGACTCTCTGCATAAAAAATTTTTAAATACAGCGTAAGAAATTTAAGATAAACTTGTGGGGCTGGTGCAGCAGCATAGCAAGTTAATCCACTGTGTGTGGTGCTTGACGTTCATTATGGACACCAATGAGTCCTGGCTACTCCACTTCCAATCTGTCTCCCAACTATGGCCTGGGAAAGCAGTGGAGGATGGTGTAAGTGCTCTCTCTCTCTCTCCCTCTCCCTCTGGTTCTCCCTCTCTCTTTGTGAAACTCTGATTTTGAAGTAAAATAATAAACTTTTAAAAAAATAAAACTAAAATAAACTTATAAAAATAAGCCTTTATTGTACCAATAATTTAAGATTATTAATCTGGAGATGGGTACTGGTTTTGAGTCCCAGCTACTCACTCCCAATCCAGCTCCCTGCTAATGTGCTAGGAAAACCATGGACGATGGCCCAAATTCTTAATACCTGCTCCCACATGGGTGACCTAGATGAAGCTCCTATTTCATGGCTTCTGTCTGGCTCAGCCCTGGCCATTGCCACCATTTGGGGAAGTAATCAGCAGATAGAAAAACCAGTTTCTCTAACTGTGCCTTTCAAACAATAAGTAAAACTTTAAAAATGTAGTAACACTCTTCAGGTTGCTGGTGTTGTGTGGTGGGTTGAGTTTCTGCAACACAGGCATCATATATGGGTGCCAGTTTGAGTCCTGGATGTTCTGTTTCTGATCTAGCTCCCTGGTAATTTGTCTGGGTCCATGTGGGGGACCCAGATGGAGTTTCAGGCTCCTAAATTTAAAAAGTAAATCTTAAAAGCCAAGTCAAACAAAAGCCCATTTCTTGAGAACCGTGTCAGTCTACTTTCCTTCTGATATTTATCAAGGAAATAATTATTTTTTTATATGGGCATATGTGAAAGGTTATTTATTAAACTTCTTAAATGTTATCTGAGGGCTGGGTGTTTAACCTGGCTCTTGAGATGACCACATCCCATCCCAGAGGACCTGGGTTCACTGTCCAACTGTGGCCCATGACTCCAGCTTCCTACTAATGCAGACCCTAGCAGGAAGCAGTGAATGGGTTCCTGTCACCAAGGAGGACACCTGGTTTAAATTCCTGGCTCCTGCCCTTGGAGAGTCAGTCAGTAGATGGGAATGTATGCACTCTGTCTTTGAGTCTCCCCCTCCCCACTTGTTTCTTCCTCTCTGCTTCTCAAATGGAGCCAATTATATGTTATGGTATGGTATGGAAATATTTATGGTACACAGGTACAGAGATAGAGATAAAACACCAGGCTACAAAAAACTAACATGATTTGATTTAAATTAGGAAGTTACTTCCTTCATACTTAAAATATTGATGATTTCTGGTAGTGTAAATAAAGATGATATCTTTTTTATGTTTACATGCCTAGTATCAAAAAACAAAAATGGTCCCAACTGGAGACCATTATATTATGCTCAGTGAAATAAGCCAATCCCAAAGGAACAAATAACCTGTGTTCTCTCTGATATAAGGCAACATTCATACAAAATACAGGACAGGTATGTAGGTAAACATATGTATACATATATTCTCATAGAGGAACTATATATTGGAGGCTAGCAGACTGAGAAGTGAACATACATTGCAGTAAGCATCTCTACCCCCTAACATACAGAGGACTGAGTGAATCAATTAAATGTACCTTGACAATGGGGTACTAAATTTTCCCCCATTGCCTATACCTACAGTGTCATGATACACTTAAATAGCAGAATTTTGGACTTGTGACTGTTGCTGAAGGACTACATACTATTATAATAAAGGAAATAGTGGGTGGGGGAGAAACAGGAAGGAGAAAGGAGGGTGGCATGGGAAATCTCTGTACCTACAAAGCTGTATCATGGAAAATAATAATTTAAACAATTAGAGTCTCTTTTCTATATGGTACTTAGTTAAGTTGCTTTCACTAACGGTTTTTAAGTATGGTATATTTTAAGATTATTTTCCAAATTTTATTTCTCCATCTCATTAGAGTACTACTAGACCTTGAATAGAAAGTTATATTTTGACTACTAAATTCATCCCAGTTACCATATCCAAACAATCATATGCATCTGCTATATGACACTGCATGCTTTCATGCTTCTGTACTCATTGTAGGGCATAAATGTACTTGCCTGAAAATGTAGTTAGCAGGCAAAATACAAAATTATCACAGTGCTTTAAGTGAACCTTATTTAACCTAGTACTTATATTCTAAAAATTATTTTCTGAAGATGAATTTGTAATGTCTTCTTTTCAGGATCCAGTGAAAGATGGTGAGGCAAAAATCAAGAGTGACTATGCACAACTTCTGGAAGACATGCAGAACGCATTCCGTAGCCTTGAAGATTAGAACTGTGATTTTGTTTGTCTTTTTCCTCAGCAAACTCGTGTATATTTTCCTAAATTTCTCATCTCAAAACCTTGCTTCTTTATTGTGCAGCTTTGGGACTAGTACCTATGTGTGTTACCATTTACTTCCCTGTTTTATTTGGCAGGTCTTACAGAAAACAAACATTCCTTTGTTCTCACATTTGAAGGGCCTCCCTGCCCCAGTGGTGAATGTAGTAAATACCATATCCAGTGGCTGCACTACTGTGACTGTGTGTAGGGTGAAAACCCTCGTTGCCGTATGTTTTTGCCCTTTTGTTTTCTGCATTAAGTTGTACACAGGACTACTGCATGTACTCTCTTTGCAAGGGATTTGCAATGCAAGGCCAGATTCCCATACTTATTGTTTGGCCATTGTGAAATGACTCCGTGTCTGGGTGGTAAGGTCACTTGCAGGTTAGCATCTTGCTAGCTAACTGCTTTACAGGAAATGTTTACAAAAATACAAATGATTAATGTTCCAATAATGCATTACTATCCCTATATAAATCAGGAATATTTATGGGGAACTATGTTGTTTTGTAAAACAGGCATATATGGAGCTCAACACAATCTGTCAATCAGTGCCCTGTCAAAAATGTAAAAAGTCAAGCAGTCAAATTTCCATTAGCATCATCTTAAAGCTTATTTTATTTCAGTAGGAAAAAAGTCAGTATCAAGGTCTATTATATGTTGCATTGCTAAGAAATTCTTTTTAAAACTACGTTTGAAACAATCACTGGAAATTTGATCCACATTATACCATCTCTCCTCTCCTTAAATATTTTCAGCGGCCAGGCCTCTAAGGATCATGTGGTGGTGTGCTGGAAAGCCGCATGCCACAGAGAAGATACTTAGTGCACCTTGAAAGCTGTGTGCCTCTTTAAGAGTCAGTGGGTTCCAGTGGTTGTTGGGGCCAGAGTGGCATTCCGTTTCCACAAAATGATGACATGTGTTGCATCTGCATGTGCTGAATTTTAAAGCCACCAGTTTGCCAGTTGTAGAAGACATGGCTTTCCTTCATGTGCTTTTTGAATCGGGTTCAAAAGACTTCTCAGAAAATCTTTGGTCCTAGCAGCCTGACAGTTTCCAGGTTTTTTAGTAGGGATGAAATTAATTCTTGTATCTGCTGGTGACAGAATCTCGGTCATGTGAAGAAAAAGACATTTTATCCTGCATTATGAAGTATAGATCTCTGTGTTTGTGTAAGACACTTCCAAACAGCTCTGAGAGCAACGTTTTTCCATTAGGGTTTTTTGACCAATAGTGCTGGCACCTGTGCCTTCTCTTTGAAAAGAGGAAAGGATATGTAAACATGTGAACAATTTCAAATGCTCAAATGTAGTGGCATAAATTAAAGAGTTTTAGCCTCAGTATATTATTTAGCTTTCTAAGTAATGCATTTCTTCTGGTCTGTTAAGAAAAGATATGATCAATATAGAATTCAGATACAGTTTTTTTGTTTAAATCCTTGCACCCTATATGTATTTGTAGCAGTCTGCTAGTTAGTACAGGTGTTCTTCCACGGAATTTTTTCCAACCCTTCAGAATATTGACAGATAAAAAAATTATGCAGTGATATTGTTGAGATGTGGATTTCTTGGTGCTGCTTAATCAGTTTGCTTCCAACGTGGCCTCCGACCCCCAGGCCGCAGGACTAGTGGGAATGTAAAGGGTTTCAAAAGCGTTCTACTCCTACCTTGAACCGACCAACAAATTAAGATTATGATCATAGTGAATGATGTAAAGAACATTTGCCCGAGTTTGTTATTTGTTCTTAATTTGAGTCGTGCATTCTTACTCCTCTGAGAATGCTGATGTGTGAGTGTGAAGCTGCTAGAGAAGCTGCTCGGATAGTCACTGGTAAGTGTACTTCACCTGTATGTTGTAGAACTTCACATCAGTGACTTATAGTGTTTCTTTAGTAAGAATGTGTTAAAATTACAATATTTTAAAAAAATGCAGTTCTATATTTATTGTGCTGTGCCTGGTCCGACATGGGAGCCAGTTAAACAAGTTTCATATGTATTTTTCCAGTGTTAAATCTCACACACTGTTATCTTTGGAAATGTCCTTCCATCCTAAGGAACGAATAGAAGAAACTCTATATGTACATACATTTTGCCTCCTTATCCTTGCTATTTCACTCTCTTTATGTTAAAAGTTGTGTATAATTGTTAAAAATCTATGAAAGAATGAAAAGTGGATTTAAATTATCCTTTTTGTGCTTTTTCTTTTTTGATGGGATAGGGCAAGATTGTACTAGAAAACATGATGTTTTATTGTGTTTGTTTATTTGAAAGAGACACAGAGAGCTCCTGCACACTGTTTCACTCCCCAGATGCCCTTAGTGGCCAGAACTGGATGGGTTGAACAGGGAGGCTTACATCAGTCTGAAGCTGGGAGCTGGGAACTCGTCCATTTGTAGATGGTTACTTCATATCTGAAAATTGAATTGGACCCCTCATTATTGCCTGTAAAGTCCCATAATCATATTCTATTATGATTTGGAAATAGAGTACACAGAATTCCACTTTAAATTTAAAAAGTGAATGGTTTCTAAAAATTCACTTCCCAATTAGATAAGTGGTACTCATTTCAATTTTTGGCAAGTGAACAAAAGCTTTATAATTCATGATTTTGCAAACCAAATGAATGATTTAATCCAATGTAACAGCATCCATTAGAACAATTTCATAATGTTACCTAGGACCAATTTCCAAAGGAAGGAAGAAAGTGCAGAAGGAGCAACTCTTACTACTGAGGGCCAGGTTTTTGAGAGAAATACTTCAGAAGTCATGGGAAGGCTTGTTATTATTGAGTGGGTTGTTTTTCATCCATTAGGTAACATCCCAACATCTTCATTATATTGAAGTATAATTGCTACAGCATAAGAGCACTTTCCCAAGTGGGGTGTGATAAAATGCTACTCAAGTTGGTATTCTATATTTTTTTAAAGATTTATTTATTTTACTTGAAAGAGTTACAGAGAGAAAGGGAGAGAAATTTTTCATTTACTGGTTCACTCCTCAAATAGCTACAATGGCCTGAGCTGAGATGGTCTGAAACTAGGACCCTGGATCTGCTGCATGGGTCCAAAGATCCAAGACCTTGAGTTATCCTCCACTGCTTTCCTGGGCCACTATCAGGGAGCTGGATTGGAAATGGAGCAGCCAGGATTAGAAGTGGCACCTGTATTGAATGTCAGTGCTGCAGATAGAGAATTAGCTTGTTATGCCACCATCACAGTCTGAAGTTGTTTCAAGAGATTAGTCTGAATTTCCTTCATAACAATTCAGATAAAGTGTTTTGAGTTTAGATAGTGTGTTAAAGGCAAGCAGAGAATACCAAATGTTGGTGAGAATATGGAGCAACTGAAATGTTTTTGGTGGGAGTATAAATCTGTGCATCCTCTTTGTAGAACTATGTTGATAGAATGTACTAAATTGGATTAGTGATAATAAAACAAAACCCGCTCTCGCCTAAATCCTCTGACATTTCTCTAACCTCTCTTCCTCGGGTTCTAACGGAGCCCTTGATTTCCCAGAGGGAAGCTCTGAGGGGTTTCTCTCCCTATTTGGAATACAGCTTCCCACTCCAGAGCATTCAGTGATCCCAGCAAGCCCTGAGTGGTCACTTCCCTCAGGAAATCAGAACTGACTTCCAGGAGAATGTGATGCAGGTGACAAAGCATGTCTTCCAAAGTTGGGTCACAAAATGCATTGATGGAGTCCTGGGGTCTACCATACCCAGATGTGGGGGTTTATAAATGCAACATGCATCCCAGGCAAAAGATGGACTCCCACTGAAGCTGTTGGACAAGTGTAGACAATGGGATGCTGGACTGTCTGACTTTGTACCAGCAATGTGGGGGTACACTTAAGAGACTGATGAAATTATAATTCCTTAATGAAGGATTATACCATTGTAGTAAAATGGGGAAAATCTGTTGGGGGTGGGAGTTTGGGGGGAAATCCCAAACGAAATTGTATCACATAATTCAAAAAACAAAAAAACAAACACATTGTAGCCTTCTTGTCGCACCAATCTTGTACTCTATTTGCCAGGCTGTGAAGACTCCAGCAGCCCCGTGGAGAAACTCATGTGGAGAGGAACTGAGGCCACAAAAAGACAGTCAGGGCCAGGGTGCTGGCCAAATGAGCAAGTGAGGACTGTAGCCCGTAGGCTTCTGTGCTGGGCCCTCTAGTGACTTTTTTTCTTTTTTTTTTTTTTAAGACTTATTTTATTTTTATTAGAAAGGTGGATATACAGAGAGGAGAGACAGAGAAGAAGATTCACTCCCCAGGTGGCCACAACGGCTGGAGCTGAGCCAATCCGAAGCCAGGAGCCTCTTCCGGGTCTCCCACGCAGGTGCAGGTTCCCAAAGCTTTGGGCCGTCCTCAACTGCCTTCCCAGGCCACAGGCAGGGAGCTGGAAGGGAAGCGGGGCTGCCGGGATTAGAACCGGCGGCCATATGGGATCCTGGGGCATGCAGGGTGAAGACCTTAACCACTGTGCCATCGTGCCGGGCCCCTCTAGTGACTTTTTAAATTTCAGTTGTACTTGACTCCAGAATTCACATGTGATTTTCTTTGTAAATTTCTACTGCTACTTTTTTTTCCTCATGATTTTCTTCTAGAGATGGATAAAGCATACTGCCAAAATGCCTTATCATTTTAAGCTCCCGTCACAACTGCTGTGCCGGCATAAACTGCATTATCAAACATTGGTACTCTATCTAATGGATGCAGTCTTTCAGTATGATTTAGGTTGTACTTATTTTATCCTAAATGTAATTAAGGATCTTTTCAGGTTTTTTTTTTTTTTTTAAAGAGACATTTGTATTTCCTTTTCTGTGAGTTTTCTGTGAAGAACAGCAGAAGATGGCCCACCGGCTTGGGAGATGCAGATGAAGACCCTGGCTCCTGGCTCCCGCTGTGGTAACAGCATCTGGGGAATGACCCAGCAGAGATTTCTCTCTGTCTCTCCCTGTCTTTTTGTAACTCTGGCTTTCAAATACATGAATACATTTTACAAAAAAAGATTACCAAACAGTAGTATATTCTCCTTTTAAACGCAATCATTGCTAATATTGTGCTACTTTGCTGTCTATATTAGTCTTTGTTAAAGCGTTGAAATGCTTTGAAAAGCAAGTTGCACATAATCCTAACACTTCACTCCAAAGCACTTCATTAAGAACTTTCCAACAGCCTCTTTCCAGTGTATATATATATATTTATTTATTTTCTCAGTGACACAGTTCCATAAGCTCAGGAATGATCCATCCACTCTCCTCATTTCTCCTCCCTGCCCACTGTCTTCCCCCATATTACAACAGTATAATCCTTCAGCAACAGTCAGAAGTCCATCATCCTGCTATTTAACTACATCATGACACTGTAGGTATAGACAGTGGTAGAAAGTCCAGCATCCTATTGACATTATTAACCAAATTAGTACCCACAAAGTTTTCAGTGATTCATTAATTATCCCACAACATCAACTGTATTATAAACTTCAATCTTGCCCAATTGTTTTAGAATATTTTCTAAGACTTTTATTTTTGGGGGAAGGCTGGGGGAAATACCCATTCATTAGTAATTTCCATCCTTTACACAAAGGAAGACGACTTCCTGTGCAGATCACGCTTTCCCACATTGGAGCGGGACCCGCCATTTCATGGTAGCCCAGGAGTTTAAATTCAGTCCGACCTCTAGTCAAGATTGGTGTCCAGGCTCACGAATTGACAGTCCTCCTCAGGCCGAGGTCCTCGATTGCCACCAGGGGGCGCAAGGCGCCGCCTGCACAACCTGAGGCGGCAGGGAGGGCCGGGGGCCACAGCGCACGGTCTCGCGCCCGGAGCGCGCGGGGCGGACGCGGGAGCGCGCGGGGCGGACGCGGGGGCGCGCGGGGCGGACGCGGGGGCGCGCGGGGCGGACGCGGGGGCGCGCGGGGCGGACGCGGGGGCGCGCCGGCCGCCCCCTGCCCTCGGCGGGTCCCTGGCGCGCGCATGCGCGGCTCCGCGGCGGCCGAGGGAGCCGCGATGGAGGGCGCCCTCGCTGTCGGCCAGGTAAGCCGGCCTCGGTGGCGTCGGGCGGGCTCCCGAGCGTCCGTTTCGCTCGGTGTCTTTGCTCGGATGTTGGTCTGGCCCTTCTCAGGTGACGACACGTAACTCCTCCCGTCGCCCTTCTGCTTTGGAGGTGTTGGGAAAGTTGTCACCGGGCAACGGCTTCTGGTATTTCCTGGCGCCTGTCCTGTGGGGCGAAGGTGGGGCGTCCGCCCTCCGCGGGGCTGTGAGGTGCTGGGCTTTGTCCTTCATGTCCCGGGCCAGAGTGTCGACCAGGGCCTCAGGGAGAGTCCAGCTCCACTGCCAGGATACTGACCCAGAATGACCCCTTCTTTCCCCCGCCTCATCTCACCCCCTTTGCTGCTTTTCAGCCCAATGAGAGCAGGTCCAGATAGTTTCAATCCGTGCCCGGGATTTTCCCCACAAGTTTTAACTCCCAGCTGAATTTGTCATGTTTGCAACTTTATTTGTATTATTCATTCATTCGTTGATTTGAAAGGCAGATTTACAGAGAGGAGAGACAAAGATCTCCATCCCCAAAGGACTGCAGTGACCGGAGCTGAGCCAATCCCAAGCAAGGAGCCAGGAGCTTCTTCTGGGTCCCCCACGTGGGTACAGGTGCCCAAGGACATGGGCTCTGGTGCTTTCCCAGGCCATAGGCAGGGAGCAGATGGTAAGTGAGCAGCTGGGATGTAAACTGGTGCCCATAAGGGATACTGGCACTGCAATGTGGAGGATTAGCCTGTTGAGCCACTGCACAGGCCGCTTGCTACTTTATTTGTTAAAAGTGGAAAGATTGGGCCTGCCACAATAGCCTAGTGGCTAAAGTCCTCACCTTGCATGCACCGGGAATCCTATATGGCTGCTGGTTCATATCCCGTTTGCTTCACTTTCCTTCCAGCTCCGAGCAGTCAAGAATGGCCCAAAGCCTTGAGACGCTGCACATGTGGGAGGCCCAGAAGAGGCTCCCGACTTGGGATTGGTTCAGCTCCGGACGTTGTGGCCCTTTAGGAATGAAAGTCCCTCTCTGTCCCTCCTTCTTTCTGTAAATCTGAGTTTGCAATAAAAATAAATTTTGGAAAAAAAGTGGAAAGACTTGCTTATTAATTTTCAGGGTGAGGGCCTGCTTTGGCAGCAGGA